AGAGTTTTTATATAGTATTTTCTTTACAGAACATGTCTTAAATAAGATTGAAGCTACTACTGAAAATTCAGATGGTCACTCGATAAAAGAAGTCCCATCACATAAGATAAGTGAAGATCTGCTATCCCAGCCACAGCATGATGTGCCGTATTTTAGGTTTGTTGTTACTTGTTCCTGTCTACCGTTTTGTATTAATGTTTAGATATTTTAACACAAAATTAAAGAATTTTTTTTTACTTTAATATTGTATATTTACTATTATATCAGCCATAACATAATAGACTGCAAGAGCTTTGGTGGCATAGTCCATGGTGAGTTGTATTGCTAACCCAAAAGCTGCATCTCTATGGCAGTTGAAATCCATCAGCAGCTCTGCAGGATGAAGATGGACAGTCTCCTCTACTTGTGATTTACAGCCTCAGAAACTAATGCAGGCTTGCTGTGCATCAGAATAGACTCGGTGGCAGTGCGTTTGAGGATTTGTTTTGATAGTGCACTATTAAGGGGAGCACCAACTTTGAATGATTGTTATTTCATCCTTTCAATTTTAATTATTTTTTAATAGCTACAACGTTCTTTTGGTTCCTAATTTGAAAGATTAGGTAAAACATACAACTGAAATAATTCTTTCCCAGCTGTCTCCCAGCCTTATAATTTGAACCTTCCATAGAGGCAACCAATGTAGTTCTTCTTTTCTTGAAAATCTTGTCAGAAAGAGGGCATAGATAGACAAATAGAGACATTATATGCGTGTGTATGTTTCTATTTTAGAAGAAAAGAATAGTGTATTCTAGAGTATCTCACCACTCATCTGTTAGTTGGTCATCTGTTTTCATGTTGCTGTAATCCTGGAAGCTATATTACTGGTATTTCAAATACCAGTAGGATCACCCATGGGAAACTGGTTTCAGTGGAGATTTTAGACTAACATAAATTAGGAAGCAGGACTGGTCATCTACTTTTGAATTAATGAATCATTGGAGATCCTGTGGATAGCAGTGGAATGTTATCTGATATAGTGCTGGAAGATGAGGCACTCGAGTTGGAATGATGAGGCACATTCTGGGAATATTAAAAGTTGTCTAAAAAGAAATAGAATCCATGAAGATCACTCTCCTACATTTTATTTTTAAAATTCATTATTAATTTCAATGAAAATGTACAGAGACTTTGGATTTCCATTCATTCATTGTTGCATGTTTCTCCCCTCCCAACCCTCTCCCCTAGTACACTACCCTCTTGGAAAAGTAAAAGAAAATTTCTTAATTGCTTTACAATCCCTCCCCCTAGGTCCACTCCACTATGCAGCCTTTGCTCTGGACTCCTGTCATGACAAAAATACCTAATAACATATCCCTCTTAAACAGTTTTCTCCCTCATCTGTTTTAATGAAGTATGTGTTATTGAACCCATCTTTCTCAGTCTCCCCCAACCCTGAGGTCAGTCCTGTTTTACAACAGTGGCACCTTGTAGTATTTGTCCTTTTGTGATTGAGATACTTCACTCAGCATAATGTCCTCCAGGGTCACCCATTTTGAAAAATATTGCATGAGTTGTTGCTTGTTTTTCAATGCAGCGTAGTATTTCATTGTGTGAATATATCATAGCTTCTCTATCCATTTGTTTGTTGATGGGCACTTAGGTTGTTTCCAGCTCCTTGCTATTGTGAACAAAGCCACAATAAACAAGAGTGTGCATATATCTTCTCTCCTACATTTTAATGAAGGAGTTCTGGTGGCCTAGTGGTAAGTAATTGAGCTGCCAACCCAAAGACATGCAGTTCAAATCCACAAGCTGCTCTGTGAGATAAAGATGGGTAATCCCCTCCCATGTGATTAATTGCCTCTGAAAAGCAGCTGTAGGGTCAGCTATGAGTTAGTTCCAACTCAATGGTATACAACAACAATATATTCATTAATGAAAGAGACTGGTATGAGATATTTTGAATCAATCATATAGTCTATGCCAGCCATAACAAATTCAAGAGGAATAGTATAGAATTAATTGCCATAAAGAACATTTCAAGATCTATGCTGAAATAGAATACTGTCAATAATGTACAGCCAAGCACAATCAATAAGAGTGCATCTGAATTCCAAAATCAATCTCCATAATAGTCTATGTGTTTCCTACTGCCAAAGGGGCCCTTTAGAGTAGTGAGAGAAGATCTTCACCCTGAAACCCACAGCGTCCCTTTTCAGCAGGAAGTAGCTAAGAGAATACGCCGTCCCCTTTTCCTTATGACTCAGGGTGAAGTCTCTCTCAGGGAGGAGTGATAGGGAATGGCAAAGGATACACTGACAAAGAAGATTAATCAGAACTGGCTTTGACAAGCACTGTGGCATTTGGACAAGAACAAACTGGGAGGAGGGTAGAGAGAATAGTGCAACAATGAATGAGTGGAAGCCCAAAATCTCTGTAAATGTTTATGAAAATTAATAAAATATAATTATAGAAAAAAAAAGAATACTGTCAATAGCAGTATAGTATCCTTATGCGTACAAAGAATTCTTATTCATTTCACTGTTATTCAAATATATGCATCAAACACAAAAGCCGAAGATGAAGAACTTTTGCAGACTGAAATTGGTTTACTATGTAATCAAGATGCATTAATAATTGCTGATGGTTAGAAAAGGAAAACTAGAAGGGGGGTGGCAGCAGGGAGAGGGATGGATTGGTGGTCAAAAAGTACGGTCCTGGTTATAAAAAGGAAGCCAGAGATCGCATATAGAATTTTGTGCAGCCATTGAATTCTTTACTGCAAATACCTTTTAAAAAATATGAATGGTGACTTTACACATGGAATATACACAAATCAAATCTATTATTATATCTCTGGAAAGAGACAACAGAGAATGTCAAAGTTAGCACTCAGAACAAAGCGAGTTCATTTATTCATATGCGAGTTCAAAATGAAAAGAAATTGAGCCAAGCCAAAATATAATCTTGAGTATATTGCATCTGAATTTGGAGACCAATTGTAAGAATTCATTGAATACTAATGCACAAATATCAGAAAAGTTTTGGGATGACATCAAGGCATCCTACATGAAGAAAGCAAAGGTTATTAAAAGACAAGAATGAAAAGATCAAATAGATATTAGAATAGACTGAAACTTCCTCTAGAACATAGAAAAGCTCAAGCAAGAGAAAGACATTATGAAGCAAGAGAGAACAGATGATTTCAAAGAGCAGCTAGAAAAGACAAAGCACTGTAATGGAATGCACAAAGACCTGGAGTTAAATGTATGGCAGAGAAGAACGTACTCTGCATTTCTCAAGCTGAAAGAACAGAAGAAAAAAATTAAAGGCTTGCACTAGTGAAGGATTCTGTGAACAAAATATTAAGTAATGCAAGATACATCAAAAGAAGATGGAAGTAATGCTGAGTCACTATCTCAAAGAGAATTAATCTACTATGAACCATTTCAGGACTAGCATGTCATCAAGAGTCAGTGGTAAGGGAGAAGTCCAAACCACACTGAAGACATTGGCAAAAAGTGTTGGAATGCCAATTGTTGAAATGTTTTAATTCGTGTAACCCTGGTCATGCTTATTTATCTAAATTAAGAAATTTGGATGACAGCTATATTTAAGCCTGTTTCAAAAACAGGTAATCCAAAAAAACTGAAATTATTAACAAATATCATATGCAAGCAAAATTATTTTTCCAAAACAACTGGAAAAATAAAGCTGATTCAGAAGAAGCCATGGAAAAAGTGATATCATTGCTGCCATAAAATGGATCTTGGTTGAAAGCAGAGAATACCAGAAAGATGTTTACTTGAATTTTATTGACTATGAAAAGTAGACATTTCAGAACACTTAATTGTGCTCATTTGAAACTTGTACATGGACTAAGAAGCACTTATTTGAACAAGACAAGGGGATGCTGCATGTTTTAAAATCAGAGAAAATGTGTGTGTCAGGATTGTAGTTCATCATATGTATTTAATTTTTCTGTTGAGCAAATAACCTGAGAAGCTAGATTATAAAAAGAATGTAGCATCAGGATTGGAAGAAGACTCATTAAGAGCCTATGATTTGCAGAAGATAACAGTGTTCCCTCTTGAATGTGAAGAGAACCAGAAGCACTTCCTGAAGAAACTTGAAAAACTCCTTTAAAACAAATTCTCACTCATTCACTGGCTTACAGTTAGTTCTAATCATAGCAACACTCCATTGGGTTTCTGAGGCTGTATCTTGCAATGGGAGGAACTACCCATATTTCTGAAGCACTGGTGAATTGGAACAACATTTGGAAGTACAACCTTCACACAAATCACACATACCATTCTACCAGACCTCCCTAAATCAAACCTGCCTGCCTTGGGCATTGTGCCTGTTTAAGAAGCAACTAGAAAGATAAAACCAGTTGGTTTATATTAATAACTCAAAAATGTAATCTATGTTACTAAATTATATATGTTGGTTGTCCTTTGCTGTGTATATTCAAAATAAAACTTTTTCAGAAATGGATTTTTACTGGTTACCCAACCACCTTTATTTTTGCTTACTAAGGAAGGACATATACAGTACTAATTTGAACTTAAAGGATTTTGATATATTCATCTACTCTGTAAAATTAATAGTATGGTTACCACCTTTTATGATTTTCTAATATGTGTGAATGTCATGATAATGTAGTTTTTAGTGCAAGAAACATTTGTAAAGTTTAAATGTATGTCATAATTTTAGAAATATTCTTCAGTCAGAAACTGAAAAATTAACGTCATGTTGCCTTGAATGGGATCAGAAACTTGAATTGGACATTCCAGATCATGGTGAGGAAACACATACCTTTTTTTATATATTTTAGCTTTGTCTTTTAGTATTGTTATGTTTGTTGTTGTTATTGTTGATTGCCTTCTAGTTAAGCATGACTCATAGTGACCCTATGAACAAAATGCCTAAAGACCCTCTATAACTTTGACAATTATCAATGTTCATAGAGTTTCTGGAGGCATGTTGTTTAGGAAGTGGATGCCAATTCTGCTATTTTATGGTTTCATTTTTCATAATAGCAAGAAACGTTTCTGTGTCAGCATTTTATTGACATATGCCCCGATGTAGCTGTGCTAAAATGTTACAGTTTTAAAAAGAAAACTAATTGGCATATTAGCTAGTATTCTTTTTTTTTTTTTAAGTTTAAACACACTTTATTAGCTAGTATTCTTATAGTTAGACATCTTTTTATTTTCTTGTTTGTTTTTGGTTTTTATTGTTTTTGTGACCTTGTGGATGGTAAGGATCTCTGATAGTATAGACTTTGAAGTGTTAGACTGCTAACCAAAAGGCTGTGTCTAAGGGAGAAAGCTGGATAATCTCCTCCAGTAAAGATTTACAGCTTCTGAAACTGGCTATGAGCCAGAACTGACTTGACAGCAGTGAGTTTGCATTTTTTTAATGGATGGTATATACTATTATCTTGTATTGTTTAACTATACAAAAGCCTTTTCTGAATGAAAATTACCTGAATCATGAGAAACACAAGATGTCTCTATTCTTACTTAATTGGGTTAGTTGCTTTTAAAACAATTCTTTGTGTGCTATCACCTTCTTAGATATACTGTGAGTTGTTTAAAGGTGATTTCTTGTAAGAGATTAAAATGATGTGGAATGAATTATGTATCAATATGTGTGAATGAGTAAAATTGCTAAGTTTTAATACAAGTTGAAGCAGATAGTTAATATTTAGTAGTTGTATGGCAAATTGTACTGTATATTTTGTTTTAGTATAAAATAAGAATAACTCCTTGGATATTGGATTAGCAATGCAATTAGAGGTCTTGGATATTTGGAGTAAGGTCTCCTCATCAGTTATTTCACTTGCAATAAAGGTCATACTTGTCATTTAATTTTTAAAACTTTACCTTTCTTTTAGCAAAAGGTCTTATTCGGGTAACAGTTGGTCTAACAAGGCTTCTTATAAAGAACAAGTTCAAACACTTTGAAAGACTGATAAACGACTGTGAATACAAACAAGGTGTAAAGGAGACCACTTGTACAGATCTCGATGGATATTGGGACTATATTAGTTTTCAGGTATGTCTTCAACTATTTTTAGAGTAGTAACTTGAGTCTTTGGGGTTTTTCCTTATAAAATTGAGTGACGGTAATAAAAAGAAGTAAGATTGTTCCTTCTTCTTGTATGCCATCAAGTTGAATTGACTTATAGCTGACCTTCCAGTGGGTTTTCGAGGCAGCAAAACGCACAGGAGGAGATTGCTCATCCTTCTGCAGAGTGGCTCGTAGATTTAAATTGTGTGCCTCTGCACTTACAGTGCAGCTTCTTCATCACTAGGCTACCAGAGCTTCCTGAGATAGTTCCTTAGGTGCCTCTAATGTGAAATGAGATATTGAAGTGCTGTCTAGATCTTATGGCTTATAACCCTTCCATCTCTGTCCAGATAATTTTATAAAGGGTGAGAATTGAGATATAATTCAATAATTAAATAATTGATAATGAATCTACCTGTAAGAAAATAAATCCAGTGTTTAGTTCTTTTGTACATAGAAGCTGCTTTGAAGGAATTGGCAAAAAATAAGGCCCCGGAAATTGATAGTATACCAATTGACATATTTCAACTAACAGATGCTGCCTTAGAGGTGCTCACAAAGTTGTGTCAAGGAATCTGGAGGACAGCTACTTGGCCAACTGACTGGAAGATAGCTATATTTGTTCCCATTCCAAAGAAAGGTGATCCGACAGAGTGTGGAAATTATCGAGAAATATTGATTTCACATGCAAGCAAAATTATGCTGAAGATTATCCAAAAACAACTGGAACAACACATCAACAGAGAACTGCCAGAGGTGCAGACTGGCTTTAGAAGGGGTTGTGGTGCTAGGGATATTGTAGCTAATGTTAGATGGATCTTGACTGAAAGCAGGGAGTACCAGAGGAATGAATGTCTAACTGTGGTTCATTGATTATGCAAAGGCCTTTGACTGTGTGGATTACAACAAACTGTGGCAGACTCTGAGAAGAATGGGAATCCCAGAACACTTGATTGTACTAATGCAAAAACTATACTTGGATCAGTAAGCAGTTGTCAGAACAGAGAAAGGAAACACTGCATGGTTCAAAATTGGGAAGAGTGTACACCAGGAATGTGTCCTATTTCCATACCTTTTCAGCCTATAAGCAGAACAGATTATCCAGGAGCGTGGGCTCTGTGAGGAGAAATGTGGCATCAGGATTGGAGGAAGATTCATTCATCAACAATCTGCATTATGCAGATGACACAACCCTGCTTGCTGAAACTGAGGAAGACCTGATGTGCTTGCTGCAGAAGGTCAAGGACTGCAGCCTTCAATATGGATTGAGGCTCAGTATCAAGAAGACAAGATTCTCACCTCTGGACCACTTGGCAGCATCAGGATGGATGGTGAAGAGATTAAAATTGTTAGCAGCTTTAGTTTGCTTGGTTCCATAGTCAACACTCTTGGCACCAGCAGCCAGAAAATTAAAAGACATATTGCGATGGGAAAGTCAGCTGTTGGGGATTTCTCCAAAGTCCTGAAGAGATTGGTGTCACTCTGGAGACTAAAGTGTGCCTGATACAGGCCATGGTCTTTGCAAGCACTTGCTAAGCATCAGAGAGCTGGACAATGACTAGGGAGGATAGAAGGAGAATTGATGCCTTTGAGCTGTGGTGTTGGAGAAGGGTATTGAATATACCATGACTGCTAAGGAAAATTAACAGATTCGTCCTGGAGAGGGTTAAAACTGGCTGCTCCTTGGAGTCAAGTATTCTGAAGCTTCATCTGACATACTTTGGACATGTTGCAAGGAGGGACCAGTCCTTGGAGAGGGATGTCATGCTTGGGAGGGTGGAAGGACAGCACAGGAGAGGAAGACCCTCAATGAGAGGTATATTGATTCAGTGACTGGGATAATCCAGGTGAGTGTGTTGGAAACAGTGAGATTGACACAGGACAGAGGAGGGTTTAGGGCTGTTGTACCTAGGATTGCTATGAGTCACAGGTGACTCAACAGCACATAACAACAACAGTGTTCAGTACTTCAGGTCAACTAACAGTTACTGAGTTGATAAATAAGATTCTTCTATCTCAGAAGAGATATTTGTTTGACTGGAAAATATTCTAGTTTCATGTGAAAGTGCCAAGATAGAGGGAGTCACTGTCACTGGGAGGATCAGATAGACTAGGGAGCCAGTAGTAGTTTAGTGGATAAGCAGTTGTTCTTCCCACCCAAAAGTACATGGTTGGAATCCACCAATTGCTCCACAGGGGAAAGATATGCAGTCTCCTCCACAGTGCTTCTGAAAACTGGGTGGAGGGTCAACTAGTGGTCGTTCTGACTCATTGTTACATAAAAACAACAGAAGGGGTCAGTAAAGGTATGAGAGGAGATGACACTTTGAAGCTTTTCAAGCTGATTGTCAAATTTCTTCATCTTTGACATTAGTGGTTGGTATATAATTTTGAATAATGATCATTGTCTGAAGACGAGAAAAAAACAGTAACATGGGGCACAAAACCATGAGCATCTTTCAGAAAGGGCCAGAGAGAATGAGAATAGCACAGCCCCTCACTACCAAAGAGCAGAAAGCAGATAAAGAGGCCACAGCCCAGCCCCGTGGTGCCTCTAGAGCCATAGCAGCAGCAAGAGGTTCATGTATTCATTGCTGACTCACAGTTATGGTACCAACAATGGGACTTACTATACAGATTTTGGAAGGGAGCTTTGGTAAGGAGTTATGCTGCCAACCAAGTTAGATGGTTGGATCCACCAGCAGCTCTGTAGGAGAAAAATGAACAGTCTCCTCCCATGTGATTTACAGCCTTGATTCAATGGCACATAACAGCAACATACAGATTTTAGAGATGAATTGATGATAAATGCACAAAAAAGCGAAGCAACAAAAAGCAAAATCAGTTAATAAGTTTAGGGGAAAAATTTGTGAGGAAGAAAAAATAATCTTAGTAATCATACGACTCTGATGAGAATGTTGTGATGTCATTATTGAGTACCTTCAAATAGGTTCTAACCCAGTGTCCCTAAGTACAAACAGTACATTATCACTAGTTTTTATGTATTTATCAGTTTTCATAGTTATGATCTGCTTTCCTGGCATCCTTTAGTTTGCTGTTAAGTGCCTTCTACAGGACTCATAGTGACCCTATGAACAATGGAACTGAACTTTGCCTTGCCTACAAGGAGTACTTTGGTTGCACTTTTTCCAAGATCTACTTGTGTTTTGACAGTCCTTGGGATATTCAGTATTCTTTTCCAGCACCACAACTCAAAGGCACCATTCCTCTGTCATCTTTATTCATTGTCCAGCTTTCAGATGCATAACAAGTAATTAAAAAGACAATGACTTTTTCAGACTCCCTGCATGAAGCACACAACAGTATTTACAAGATGACCCAGCTTGCTTGCCATGCCCTCTGCACCTGTTCTGGGGCCTGGATACCCAGGAGAGGTCAGAAACAATAACAAATGTGAAGAAATCTCAACTGTTAACTGCAAAGAACTGTGTAACTCCCATGCCAAATCTCTGTATATAAACCAGATCTTTACTTCCCCTTGGGGTCAGAACTATTTGAGCATTAGCTGACATTCTTGACCATGCTCAATGAAAAACTTTCTTGATCCCCCCCAAAATAAAAAAACAATGACTTGAATCAGTTGCATCTTGGTCTTTAAACCGGCATCAATGCTCCTTACCACCTTGGAGAAGTCGTTGACAGCAGTTTTGGGTAATTTGTCTTTGGATGTCTTGACTGCTGGTGCCAAGGATTTTGATTGCGAATCCAGACAAGATGAAATTGTTGACAACTTCAGTTGTATTTCTCCCTTCAGTGGTGATCAACTAAATCTGTTTTTTTAGTGTCATTAATTTGTAAATTTAAAGTTGTTATTTGTTGTTTATAAAATTACAATGTTTACATTTTTTAGGAATACTCTATTGATGCTTATTTCAAAGCTTTGGCCAGTGGGAGCCTCTTTAAATTGATTCCTGTGGCCTTTTTTACTCCCTTAATTTTTTGAGGTGTAATTTATATATCATACTCAAAACAAACTCAACTCATTGCCATCAATTCATAATCAACTCATAACTGACTCTCCAGCAGGTTTTCAGAGGCTATAAATCTCATGGGAAGAAATTTCCCACCTTTCTCCCAAGGAGCAGCTGGTGGATTAGAATTGCCTAAGTTTGGGTTCGAAGTACAACTCCTTACCTGAGAGGCCACCAGAGCTCCCGTATTCAATTAAATTAGTTTTCGTAGATATACAGAGTTGTGCAGATATCACCACAGTCCAACTTCAGGACATTTTTGCCCCTAAAAAATATCCCTCGTGTATTTGCAGTCAATCCTCTTTTTCATTGCTAACCCCAAATGACAGAATTACTCACTGTCTCTGTAAATTTGCCTTTTCTGGATATATCACATAGAGTAATGCAATGTGTGGTCTTTTGCATCTGGCTTCTTGCAGCTTAGCATGATGTTTGTTAGGTCCACGCATAGTGCAGCAAATGTCCACACTTAATTCTTTTTCAGAGTCGAGTAGAATCCCATTCACTAGCTAAAGCATATTGGGATTGTATATACTTTCATATCCTGATTACTTTTGACATTTACAATTTTTAAGGGAAAGACTAAACATTTGTACATGTATAAATGTATAGTGGTGATGGTGTGTACTATCAGGTCATGTCTAACTCATCACTACCCTGTAGGACAGAGGAGGACTACCCTAGTAGGTTTCCTAGGTTGTTCTCTGTACAGAAGTGGTTAGCCAGATCTTTTCTCCCAGGAGCTACTGGCAGATTTGAACTGCTGAGCTTTCAATTAGAAGCCAAGTGCTTAATCATTGCATTATTAGGGCACAAGGAATGCTTACCGACATGTTAACATTGGTTAACTCTGAAGATCGAAGAAAGGTTGAAGAGAATCTGACATTCCCATATGCCTAGTATAGAAATATGGAGCTTCCTTAGCACAGTGGCAGGAAGCTGCACTGCAATCCTGAAAGTATGCAGTTTGAATCCACCAGCTGCTCTGCAGGAAAAGGATGAGCACTCTCCTCTATACAATTAACTGCCTCTGAGGCCTACTGGAGTATCAGCAATGGGTCAGTTCCAACTCGATGATACACAACAACAAATGTTATTTAATATTACTGTGTTTTCATTGTGTGGTTTAAAAGGGAAAATGGCTTTGAAAGGTTTCGGATTGAAGCTAAGAACCATGCTGAGGTAGAAACATTTCTCAGAGTTTATTGCGCGCCAGGCTTCTCAGCAAGGGGAGTAACACTGGGGATTGGCTCAGGGGGTTTATATGTCTGGGAATTCTAACCTGCTAACAGCTCTGTTGGAGAAAGAAGGATGGATAATCTCTAAAATGATTTATAGCCTCTGGAAATCTACCGAGGGTCATAAGAGTTGGTTCTGACTCAATCACAATGAGATTGGCGTGTTGCCCCCTTCCATTTTAGGCATCAGCTATAATTTGGGAAACCTATCAAATGTGGAAATGACAACCTCTTCAACAAATGGTTCTAACAAAACTGGACTGCTACCTGCAGAAAGCTGAAACAGGATCTACATCTCACACCATATAAAAAAAAATCACCTCAGGTTGTATCGGAGACCTAGAAGTAAAGCTTAAAACCATAAAGTTCACCAGAGACAAACTGAGATCAAGCTTAAACGGCCTAGTCTATGGTATAAAGAAACTACCAAATACAGTCAAAAGTGCACATTCTGGAAAAGATAAAATTGATAAATGGGACCTTCTAAAGATTAAATCCCTGTGTGCATCAAAAACTTTTCCAACAGTGAAGAGAAAATCTACTGACTCGGAAAAAGCATTTGACAATACCATATTAAACAAAGGTCTCCTATCAAAAGTTTACAGAATCCTTCAGGACCTCCACAAGAAAAAGAATGATCTCATAATTACAAAATGGGCAAAAGATGTGGAAAGAATTTTCACAGAGGAAGATATTTGAATGGCCAACAAACATATAAAGAAGTGCTCAAAATCACTGGCAATAAGAGAGATGTAAGTTTAAAAAACCACAGTGAGATACCATCTCACCCCAGTAACAGTGGCAAAGTTTAACTGGCAGGATAGCAAGTAATAAATGTTGGAGAGGATGTGGCAAGATAGGAACTCTTACACACTTGTTGGTGGGATTGTAAAATGGTACAACCATTCTGGCATTTCCTCAAAAAGCTGAACATAGAAAATCCATATGATCCAGCTGTCTCACTGCTTGGAATATACCCTGAGAAAATGAGAACTGAGGCACAAATGGAGATTTGTACACCAATGTTCATACCAGCATTTTTCACCATTGCAAGAACATGGAAATAGCCCACAGTTAACCACAATCGAATGGATTGAGAAATTATGACACATTCACACAATGGAATACTACTCAGCACACAGAAGCAATGATTTTATAAATCGCTACCTAACTTGGGAGGGATTGGAGAACATTATGCTAAGTGAACTAACTCAGCCTTACAAGGATGAATACTGTATAAGAATGTGTTTGTAGAAATAGATAATTAGTAAAACGTGCATGAGGATCCAAAGGGGGGAGGTGTGGGGTGAAGATGGGGGCGTTAATCATAGGGTCACACAATTTGATGGGTGGAGGGAAAGGTGGGTAAAGGAAATGGGAAAGATCTGATGTGAAAAACTTACACAAATTTTGTAAGTAAACCAGCATAAAATAAAAATTTTATTAAAAAAGATGTTTGAGAAAGTGATTAATATATGGTACTTTGATGTAGACTTTTGGACATTTGTAAGATAAAATATAATGGAAAGTTTACCATAAAAAATTCTCACTCCAATAAACACGAAATTAAGAATGACTAAGTCTTAATTTTGGAGAACTTGTTACCAAGTGCTAAGAAACTGTGCTACAGTCCTGAAGGCACATGGTTCAAATCCACAAGCTGCTCTGGGAGAAAGATGGGCAGTCTTCTACTATGCAGTTTAGAGCCTCTGAAAACCTATTGGAGGATCAGCTATGAGTGAGTCAGTTCTCACTCAAAGGCAGTGAGTTTGAGATTTATTTTTAAAACTAACTTTATGTCAAGGACTGTCTTACGTGTTGGATTGATAACTGAAAGATTGGCAAATCAAACCTTCCAGTGACTCTGTAGGAGCAAAAAGCAACAGTTGGTTTGGGAAAGGTTTACAACCTCGGGAACCCAATAGTTCAGTTCTGTGCTGTCTTGTAAGATCACTAACTCGGAGTCAGATTGACTGGATGGCACTGAGTTTGGTTTTAATTATGAGTAACCAATCTTGTTTTTTTGGATTTTTGTGTCTTTTGGGGGTTTTTTGGTTTTTTTTTCCAAAACTCCCTCAGTTCATTATTTTGTAATTTTAATACAGTATGCATTAATCAGATTAATTTGTGCCTTATTTATTAACAGATAGATGATGTAAAACAAAAACTCAACAGTCTGAACAAACTTGAAGAGTCTGGGTGGCAACAAAATAATAATAATATAAGCAAAAAAGTTGTTCAGGTAAGTAGATGGGCTGTGTGTGTGTACTGTCAAATCGGATCTGACTGGTATAGGAGGCAATTGCCGTTCCTCCTACAGTAGAGCATCTGGTGGATTCGAACCTTACGCCTCTGGGATTGCAGTGCAGCTTCTTGCCACTAGACCACCAGAGCTCCTCTATCCAAATTTTGAAGAAGACTCTTCTGCTTTAATTGTTGTTGTTTGTTGTTGTTGTTATGTGCCGTCGAGTCATTTGCGACTCATAGCGACCCTATGTAAAACAGCCCTAAACCCTGCTCTATCCCGTGCCAATCTCATTGCCTCTGACACACCCATCCCAATTACCCCAGTCACTGAATCAATCCACCTCATAGAGCGTCTTCCCCTCCTGCGCTGTCCCTTTACCCTACCAAGCATGATGTCCCTCTTCAAGGACCTGTCTGTCCTTACAGCATGTCCATAGTATGTCAGAGGAAGCCCCAGAATCCTTGCCTCCAAGGAGTAGCCTAGTTTAACCCTCTCTAGGATGGATCTGCTTTAATTAATTTTGTTAAAAAACAAAAAAATCCACTTTATATTTTTTATCATTTTATAAAGCAATTCCACTTAACAGTGTAATTTTATATGTGATTGAAATAGTATTGATAGGCATATTGAAGTAGTGCCACATAATTTAGATATGTGTTCCTCATACTCAATGAGTATTATCTCATTTAATCCTCCCAACACTTGTACCCTTATTTCACATTTTGAGGAACCTGAAACCCAGAAAAACTAAATATTTTGACCTGAGTGGACCTAGACTTTACACTACCCTTTTTCTTAAAAATATTTTTTTAACTAATAGATTATGCTGCTTTTGTTTATATGTATTCTGTGTTATGAAACATTTCAAAATGGAAGAATTTTTAAAATAGAAAACAGGGGTCTTTATCTTACAAATTCTCCACCACTTCCCCTCCATATATTTACTTTTTAAACATTATCTATTCCATAACCATTGCTAATTTTTCATTTTCTTCTAGTAATAC